ACCGGCTGTGAATCCATCTGGTCCTGGGGCTTGGGTTTTCCCCATACTGAATACCACATTTTTTATTTCCTCAACGGATATAGGAGCTATCAGCCCGAAATTCTGCTCTTCAGTAAGATAATTGGTGAAAACTAGACTGGAGAGATTTATATCGCTCGGATTTTGACTTTGAAATAGTCCTCGATAGTATCTATCAGCTATGCCACATTTCTCTGATTCAGAAGTACACCACTGTCCTCTTTCGTCCTCAAGACCCCAAATCACATTATTTAAGCGCCTTGACGAGGCAACTAAATGGAAATATGGGGTATTTTTGTCGCCCACTTTTAACCAATTAGTACGAGACTTCTGTTTCCAATAAAGCTCTTCTCTTTTATATTGAATAGACAAATTCTCTTCCAAGAATCGTACTAGGTTCCAATCCACTATTTGGGCATTCCTAGCCTTTTCCAAAGCGGTACCAAAGTCCTTGATCAATCTGGCTGAGTTGGATTGCCCTCCTTTACACCAATCGACTAGCGTGTGTCTTACCCGTAGCAGCTTAGAGAATAAACAATACTGGTTTGACCCTGCCACTTGCGAGTTCCAAACGTAAGTTATGATTAATTCTGCCTCTGGCATTGCAGTCCAACGAATATCAAATCGGAAAAGTCTTTTAAAAAGAGGGGTTATGACACTAGTAGTCATGCGAAGGAGCCTATGATCTGATCCTTTGTCAGAGAGATGGAACAATGTAGAGTTTGGCCAATAATTCATCCACAAGGGGGATACAAAGACTCTATCAATTCTTTGTTCTATTGTGATCCCATTTCTGCCTCGGTTCGTCCAAGTAAATTTGGGTCCTTGGAAAGGAGGTTCAAAGAGGCCAGTTTGGTGAAGGAAATCCCATAAGGGTCGAGCTTTATCCGTTCGCCACGTTGCACCCCCTAGTTTTTCAGAGGGAAATAAGGAGCAATTGACATCTCCAATAATAAGGAAAGGGTCAGAGATACCAGTGGAGAATCGTTTTAGTTCCTCTAATTGTTCTTGCCTTTTCGTGATGATGTAAGAAAGATAAACCCCCATCAAGACAAACCGAGGGCACGCACCGTAGAGAGAGGAGTTATTATTGATGACAGAAATTGCCACAAAAAAGGATGTGGATCCAATAACAAACACTGAAGCCAACCGTGGCCAAGCAAAAACTAACCCTCCCGACATACCGGAAGGATCGACAATATGACAATCAGAAAACCCTAAAGAAGAAATAAAAGAGGACACCGTGCTTCTAGAAGACATTGTCTCACTTAGAAAAAGAAACGATTTAGATAGACATCTATGAGTTTTAAGCGTTTGGAATGTCAAGGGACTCCTCACACCTTGACAATTCCACGCGAAAACATTCATTTATCGGACTGGGGCCACTTGGGGTTGGCTTCCTCCACCCTATCTTCTTGAATGGTTTTGGGGATTGAATCCACCACGCCTTCTTCTGGCTCCTGAATACAAATACCCACATTTCTTCGAGTGTAGACAATCGGGGATTCCGAGGATTCTATCAAGATGGCTTTGCCTTTTGATTTTCCATTTTCCACCGGGCCCAGCGGAGAGCATGACACTGCAGAGTCTGAAGATAATAAGTGGGCCTCAAGATTAAGTAGGCCCAAAGCACCTTGACAACCAAACGTGTTAGCTTCATCCAAACCTTCAAATAGAAATTCTGGGTTTTCATCACAATATAAATTACCTAACCCGTAGGAATTGGATGGTTCCTGAATTTGTATTGGATTTGGATTTTCCAAAGTGGGCTCACCATTTGCTTGCACATAAAAGTTGGAGGTGTTGGGCTCCATTGGGGATTCAATTTCGGCCAGCCTTAGTGGCCCATGGTTGCTGAAGCAAACCTTCCTACTCGGCCCAGCATTGAGTTCTTGGGCTGTCCTCTTAAGCCCAACCGCCACCCTTCCAATCAGATGAGAAGGGCCCGAATTTTGTCCCCTGGGTGCCGAGTTCCTCCCTTCTGTTGGATTAGGAGACCGGTTGCCATCCCGTCCCTGATCTCGACGAGGCACCGGTGCTTCAAGGAGGAGGCGCCCTCCAGCTTGCCGCCGGCCGGCTTGCCCAGAATGTCGCCAGACATTATTTCCCCTGCCTCGTCCACCATTGCGGACTGAAGCGTAGGAGTGCTCATTGATTTTCGGCCCTGTCTTATTCCCGATGATTTCAGGCCCGAAGCCGTCGTCTCTTGCGATTAGTTCAAAGGGGCAGTTGTGCTGATTGTGCCCAATTCTCCTGCATCGGTAGCACACTGTCCTGATTCCTTCGTATCTCAAAGACACCCAGAAGGACGGACCAGACGAACCATCCGGATTCCTCTTTCTCGCTTCCAACCTGTGTTCTAGCGGGGCCGAAACATCAATTTTGACGCGAGCTTTGAAGACACATCCGGGGCTTTCCCAGACCGCGTACATGGCTGCATCTTCCACAGCTCCCAGCCTTGACGCCAGTAGAGCACCGAGTGCCACAGTTCTGTATTCCTCTGGTAGGTTCCAGAGTTGAACCAAATATGGCACCCTGGCCAATTCCTGGAATAGCTCTTCCGAGGGAGTCTCCCACTTCTTGAATGTGAGGATTTTCGATTGTATGAACCAAGGGGCTTTCCCCAGAGCTTCATTGTAATCAGCTTGATTTGCAAAGACAAATTGAAACAATCCAAACCCGGCATCCAATACCGTAACTGCTGCTCTTTTGGCCCAAATGTTATTGGCCATATGTTGGGCTCTGATTCGGGATGGATGGGATGAACAGACTTGTTCTTACCACCGGCTTCCAAATCGAGTGCAAATTGTCCACTTCGTCACAGTTCCCCCCTTTCAACCCGAGTCTTTTGACTTTTATTTCCCACAAGCTAAGGTTTCTTTCTAACTGAAATATTTCTTAATCTTTCAGTTTCAGGAAAACACGAGAAGCCGCCTAGAGTGTTCTTAATCGTCAAATACTTCAATTCTATGGCAGAAAATATGGTCGATGTTTTCCTCGTTAGCATTGCAAAGGACACATCTACTCACCAGGTTCCAACCTCTTTTCTTTGAATTGTCATGAGTGACCGAAAACTTGTAACAAAGAATATTTTCGAGTATGTACCACATGATCACAAAATAATGAGTATAGATTATTCACAAAGATAAAAAAATATGTAAATTCATTAAACTATATAAATGAGCCACTACAACCACCCTTTATTATTTATATATATCTTTAAGTCTTTCTATGAGAAAAATAAGACTCTGGCCGGTTGACTTGATTAACCTGAGACGGGCACCTAATACTTTCAACTTGTATACGGCTCACCGAACAAACCCCACCAAAAACATAATCTAGCAAAGCCATTAGGTGCATGTAGAGACTAGAGATCGCACTTTTTTTATAAAACAAAAAAATATATTAGGTGAATGTAAACGGAGATCTTCAATGGTGGAAAACACTAACCGAAAATAGAAACTCACAAAACGACACCAAGTAGATAATCATACCGACACCATCCAAAATAGTAAGACAAACCGATGATCAGGATGGGAAGTTTGGTACTGGTATTTGAGATATATCGAATATTGTATCGAATTTGTTTATATTTGGTATTACCGAAAACACGTATTATTTTTTTAGATTGGGATTGGGATTGAATTCAATTGTAATTCGGTATTAGGAATTATTGGATTGTGATCAGTATATACCAAAATACCGATCAATATCGAAATATAAGCTAGTGTGTATTTTATCCTCTCAACTAGTCTCTCTCATTCATTACTATATGACCCTCAACCACCGTGAGTGTCATTTAATTATACATAGATCATTTCATCTTTGTTTCACAACTCAAAAGTCCCCGTCCAACTCAATTTTGACTTTCCAATTTAAGTCACTCTCATCTCTCACCTAATAACTTGTTATTATCATAACACCAAAAAGCAAACACTAGTATTAGCTAGTCGTCTCTCAGCCTTCACTTCGTCAAACTAAATATTACCAATGACAAGAACTTGAGATGTCACCTCTCATTCATTCTCCTTATCCATATCCTAGCTCTAGGCAAACTCAATACTATTTGTTTAGTCTCTTTGCCCTAAATTAAAAAAATCAAATCTAATTTATATATTTAATTATTTATTTCAAATGTAATTAATTTCATATTCGATAATACCGATTGGGATACCAGAATATTTAGGGATTGAGATTGAGATACCGAAATTATTTAAGGCTTGGGATTGAGATTGACTTTCGAGTGTAATTTGGTATTCGAGATTTCGGTATTTGGTATTGGGATACCGATACCGTACCGATTTTCATCCCTACCGATGGTGATCTACAACGTAACCACGAATTTATATTACTATGTATTATCAGTATTTTTCTGTTATATATATATATATGCCTCATAATTAATCTTCTTTCAATAATTCAGAAACTAAAATATTACTTCTTTCCATTGGAGAGATGACAACCTCGAGTGAACTGCGCACCACACATGACACATCCATGCATATACGCATGTAACGCATGGACACAATAAATCTTCCTTCTCTTTTGGTGCAAACGAAGAATAAATAAGACTTAACTAAAAAAATTTTGACATTTTAACTACTCGACGTATATAAAATATTGCTTCATCTATGAACCGACAACCACCCAAACATATATCTCTCTTCAATTTTCAAGAAACAAGAAACGAAGACCTCAAATAAATAAATAAAATATCGACACCAGTTAGCACAAAATGGACACATACCCATTAGCACCATGCACATATCCTTTACATATGGCTCTACATAATACTCATAAAATATCATATTTTGAAATTTCCATACATCCCAAAATACGTATGTTATACTCACATAATATCCTTAACGTATACTAATCGTACGTATGTATGTATTATGAGCTAGCTGTAGCGAATATTATTATACTCTCTCTCCGTATAATACCGTCTCACCAACCGTATACCGTATACCCTAACAACTAACTTAAACAACAATATCACCATAGAAACACCGCTTGAAAGCCTCCATATGGTCAACCCTCAGACAAATCGCCACCACAATGGCGCCATCTCCGTCCCGGCCCGGGAGCAGCATCGTGTCGCCGTCGAACTCATGGGTCGAGCCCATGTAGACCTCCTTCCCGAACCCGAAATCCAGGCCCACCATCGGCAGCCTGAGCCAGCTGATCACGCCCAGATTCGGCATCCCGAAGAACGGCCCGTCGTCAACGTCATCATCCTCCGCGTGGAAGTCCTGGAACTCGCTCAGGTCCGGCTGGTTCTTCAGGTAGTCGACGGCCGAGCTCAGGAACTCGCTGCTGTCCGCCTTCTCCACGGCTTTTCTTATCTTCCCGGCTGCAAACCCTAGCGGCCTAGCCACCACGTCGCCGGCGAGGGCGGCGGCCTTGACGTCGAGGACCGCGTTGCCGAAGTAGGCGTCGGGGAGCGGAGGGCTCGTGCGCCTGCGAATAGATTGGATTCATGAATTAGTGAAATATTGATTCAGGGATCAAAATTATGTAAATTTTGATAAAGTTTAGGTAATCAAATATCGTAATGAAAATTTTTTCGTTATCGGAATGTAATTTTTAAATGAAAATTTTCCATTAAAAAATAAATTTCAGATACCAAAATGTAAATTATAAAAAGTACGGGTACTAAAGTGTAATTTGTCAATGATCCATGAATCCACCAATCTAATTGGATGTGAATCAAACAATTAGATACTGTAGTGAATGAATTGGATTGAATTCATAGATTGGTGGATCGATCCATAGATACAAATGATATTCAATATTTGGACTATGTTGTAAATTTTGAAAAGGTTAGATACTAAAATATACTAATAACAAATTCTAGGTAAATATTTCAATGATTTTCGTATTGAAAAATAAATTTGAGATACCATATTATAATTTGTCAATAATCCATGAAATCACAAATTCAGTTGAATATGAATCAAATGAATTGGATTAGTCGGATTTTTTTTTTTTTGAATGGATTGTATCAGATTCATGAATTTGGATACTAATAGTCACTTCTATACCTGCGTGAGTCGACGCAGACCCCGACGGATGTTGGCTGGTCGGGTCTGAGCTTTCTAGCCTTGCATGCGCACCGCCATGTATGAGCCGTTAGGGTTTCGTACGTGGAAAATGGACGGCCGTCGAATGTCGACGACGGAGTCCTGCCGCCGGCGTTCGCCATGTCTTTTAGCATCTGGACTTTGGTCTTGGTCATCTTCAGTTTGGCCACTGTCGTCTCGTGGTGGTATGGTTTGGCTCCTGCATGCATACAGAAATGACGATTATGTCCCTATCAAAGCATGGATAAATGATAATATTGATTATTATTGAAGTTAAGTCGTGGTCAAGTTGGTGTCTTATTGCTTTCATTTGTGTGCATGCAGCATGCAAGATACCTTTATTTACTTTGAATCTTATATGAAAATGAATCAAAATTGAACTTTGCCTCGTGGTGCTATATTGTATGCCATCTTTTTTTTGGTTCCAAAATATTCATAAAACAAGACATTCTTATTCAACGATGATTTTTCTCTTACGTACCAATTCTTCTGTTAACAAGACAAAAAAAAAGGAAAAGATTTGGTGAGAGATAAAAGAGACTCAATATTACACTCAATGTATTTTTTCTGTTTATTCATGATATTTGGTGATTATGATTTATGCATGTAATTCGTTGCTTGTTCTTGTAATCTATTGCTTCTTTACGCAAATAAAATCTCTAATTTTTTTCATTTACTAATAATTTGTATGGATCATATTTCATAGAATTAAATTTTCATTTTCATTTTCCTCTATAAAATCGAGTTGGACTGACATCCACTTTTTGTATATTTCAAAATTTAAAATTTTCCGTACAGCAGCAGTGTGAATAAACATCAACTTGCGTAAATAAAAGTTTCTATTTGTGTGAATAACCACCAATATAGTGAACAAATATATATTTAAATTAATAAATGCAAAATTACAAACTCATATATATATATATACCTTTGTTATTGGAGCAGCCGACATCGGGGAGAAGCACCGGCGGGCGCTGGAACTCGGCCGGGTCAAACCGGGGCTGCCGACTCACCGGCGGCAGGCCGGCCCGAAGAACTCCCCGATCCAAATACGGCGCCGTCCCAATCCCCTCGCCACGTGTCACACGGGCCCACTCGTTCTTGAAATGAAGCGCGCTGAGCCCGTCCACGACAGCATGGGAGATGCTGAACCCGAGGCCGATCCCGCCGCACCCGAATTTCGTCACCTGGACCAGCAGCAGCGGCCACTCGCCGATCGGACGGTCGTAGTCCACCTCCGGGATCAACGGCTGGAAATCCGTGCAGCACGACAGGTCACCCAAGTCATCAAGCGACGTCGTTTGGGCTTCCGCCTCGATGAAAAGCACTCCCAACCCGTTGCAGTCCAGGTCGAACCGGCCTCGCCCGATCGGTTCGAGCCGGCCTGCTAAAGGGTAGAACTTGACCAGGGTCCGGGCTAGGGAGTCCTTCAGGTGGTCGAGGAGGCCTGAATCGGTGGTTCTGAGCCGGGTTGAAGTGCTTGATCTGTAGAAGAACACTGTTGGCACGTGGGTTATGGCCCCGATCATGTCCCATTCGGAGAGGGACATCCGGCCGGACCAGGTGGGTTCGGCCGGTTTGACCAGGGTGGTATGTTTGATGGTAATAGTAGTGGGAGTAGCCATTGGTTTTTTCTTCTTCTTTCTTTTGGTGGGAAATGGAGATGTGATGGTGTGAAGCTGCGAATGGGAAGTGGGGTTTTATGGGGTTCTATTTATAACGATGGATAAGGGGATGTAGGTCTAGTTGGGTTGTTGAGTGGCAATTTTTTTAATTAGGTAAAGCAATTAAGTCATCTAAACCGAGTAAATTCGAGAGAAAAGAGGGACATGTCGTTTACTATATAGTCTAAGTTTGAGAAATGATGAATTATTAATTTAGGGATGGTGGACTAATGAAGTTAACATATAAGATTTGGGGTTGAGATCTTTACCTTGAGAAATTAAGAATGTACAAAAGCAAGTTTGACTCTTGTCACATGTAAAGTGATAAATGGCCAAAATGATTAAATTAATTAGGAAGAAGAAAGGAAAGAAAGTTATAGTTTTATAAGATATATAATTCAACATCTTATCACAACTTGAGTTAATTGAGACTAAATGATTCTAAACATGGTATGAGAGTTGCCTTTGATGATTGAGAGGTCTTGTTTTCAAATTCAGACGACTTGCAGTGACGAATCCAGGGAGCCGCTCCTGGGCCATGACCTAGCTCTCTTCTGGATGCAGAGCTAGTATAGCACTTTTAAATTTTTGACTTTATATATTTGTTTAGTGGTTGTTTGGTTAAGGCTCAGCGCTCTCCGCCTCTTATTAAATGTGACACAGTGCTCTATTCTATACTAGATCCGCCGTTGACGGCTTCCAATCTTAAACACATGGTATTATGACATGTAAAATACTTCAATCACATATGAGTTGACTTTGTTCGAAAAGTCGTTTTAGTATTTCTTATAATATTCTCTCTCAATAAGTTGAGTTGTTGAAATTAAACATTTTTTTTGTTTTTTTGTCAAAAGACATCATATATTACCTGGGATTTCCTAAGTGCTACGGGTGGTCTTTCTCCGACTGAACACATTCTGATTTCCGGAATCCAAAACAAATAGGTAGTTACATCCTGGAAACCAACCAGACTCGGAAATCAAAGAAGCGACTTACATTCGAATACAAAGAGAGGGCTTCTCTAGCTACCGGGTGAACTACCCCATTGTTCTCCTGGCCTATAAATCGCATACTAAACCCAGGATGGGCACGAAAATACTAACATATCTCTTCCAGGACAGCCCCGACCGGCTGTCGCTCGTGTCAGCTTGATTAATTTTATCGTTATTACCTTCGAATCGCCCTCGAACTGGACTGCCGACAAGCCACACTCCAAACACCAAATAATAGCCTCCCGAAACCCAAGCACTACATGAGATGAATTTAAGGAAGGAAACACCGAGTTTTCTCACTTGGTAAGTACATAAAACCATGCATCAAATCTTACTAGTTGTTTATTGTACCAAAAAAAAAACTTACTAGTTGTTGGCTGCTAACTAAATCTGTTTCATAGAATTATAATTATGGACCAAAAAAAGAAAGATATGGTTGGTATAGTATCCCATTTTCTTATAACAATAATTGATATTGGCTGCTAAACTAATATTTCAACAGATAGATTTATTATAAGCGTAGCTAGCCAACTCTTCTTTTTTGTCTCCAAAAATTCTAAAAAAAATACAAAGAATTGAATTGGGATAAGACTTCAGAGCTGATTAGTCGGTGTTTTTTCTCCAAATTATTTAACCAATAATTGAGTCGTAGCAATAAGTGGGATTTTCACTATACTAGTTTTGAATTTATATATGGTACATATAGTTCGTTTCAAATCATAACTATATTAGGAATCTGAACGATCGGTTGAACCGTTGAAGAAAAGATTGATACAACGATATTGTGGTAATCAGAGTAAGGTTAAAACCTTAAAAACTATTCCATTTTTCAAATTTTTTTATGAAATGTATATATTATTTTACCTACTTTTTAGAATTGAATGGGACTATATAACCAGTATCTACACTTAACTTTTAATTAAGATAGTCTGTAAGTGAGTTTAATATAAACGAAAAAAACTCAAAACTTAATCATGTTAGTTGCTTACCAGTTGCCATTTCAAATTAGAAAGAACACTTACTGGCCGCAAATTAACAAGATGAAAAAACACTTCGAAATTATATGAGCGGTGATGAGATCATGAGGATTATTTTCGGTGGAGTACTTTTAAAACGATATCTTTCACAATTTTACACGAAGAATGTAACTCATGAACTTTCTAATATGCGAATTCCACATTCCGAAACTTACATTTGTCCCACATCGAATCTCTCGTAGACGAATTCTCGGCCACGCCACGGACTATAACTCCTGTGATATCCCGGGCGCGGGTTCCGCGCCACTAGTTTAAAAGTTAGGTACTTAGGTTGGACTATATATGTATCGACACTAGTCACAAAGATGGAATTTGTTTCCCCCCCTAGCTGGGACGATATTTTCTAGCTTAGCTACTGCTTTCTCTTTGATTCTTGCCATATAGAATTATGGCAAATAATACACTTGTGTATATTTTAATATATAGAGAGACTGCAGGTTTTATTTGAGTCTTTGTTCCTTTCCTGGAGAAGGTTCTTCCACACAGACGAAAAACAAACAATGCACTTAATAATTCACTGAGAGAGTTGCATGCATGTCGTAGTTGAAGTTTCCACGCGCTACTGTCTATTCTTGCTAGCGTACAAGAGTATGGACAACAAACAATAGATGACATCACTGGTGATGTGTAAATTAAACTTCCTTTTTGTTTTGTTTTGTTTTGTATCCAAAACTAGGTTAATTGAAGCAAAGCTCAATCAAATTCTTTGGTTGCAGCAGAAAATTTTGGCAGGCAATGAACATATAAGTTCTTCTCGACAGGGGTCTCGCCGGAGAAGGTATTTGAGTCAAGTTGGGACATATAATTTCTTTTGGAAATCAATTACCAATAATCAGAGTGGCGCAGCGGAAGCGTGGTGGGCCCATAACCCACAGGTCCCTGGATCGAAACCAGGCTCTGATATGGTTTTTGACACTTTTTTCCGTTCTTGATGTTTGTCACTTGTTGACTGTTGTTTTTGCTCCAGTACCAGGTCCTTCTGCAACTTCTGGGTTCTGTTGAGAAGGTTTATCCGAATCCTGGAAAGATATGTATTTGTTTGAGCTGGATTAAGCTTGGACTTTTCTGTAATCAATCACACTACCAAAGAGCAAATAGATGACACAAAAGGAAATCAAAGCTCTGTTACAAGGTTTCTCAAAGAGCCAACAAAGCCTGGAAACTATTCACTCTCATAGATCAAATCCTCTTTATTTGTGCAGAGTCCATGTAAAAAATTATACATGAAGAAAATACAATCTCATGGTAGATTCATAGTACTGAACTGAAAGCTTCCTTCTTAAATTGGGAAGAACAGTTAACTGATTTTGCGCAGTAGTTACAATGTATTGATTACAACAACCCTCCCCTGAGTGAACTTACTAGCTACAGGAACTGATAATTGCTCACACTTGACACTACCATTCATGCCCATAAGTTTTGCCTGCAACCCAACAGAGCTCATTGTCGAACAGATTTGGTTGGTTCTCTGCAGAGTACCATTACCTAGTTTGCTCAGTGCAGCAGAAGCTCCAGGACCTCAGTGTCCGTCTCAAACTTGTAGTCACATTGCAGGCTATTGGCCAAGGATTTGAACTCGTCCATCTCAGATGCTGCAACTTGGAAACCCACTAGCACATTGGCGTCACTTCCCCCCTGTCAACAAAACGAAAGAACCACCAATGCATATGTTAGGCAGGCGTGCCACACAGATTGAAAGTGACAGAGTAACCTCGATCACACGATTCGCAGAGATCAAGGATCATAATCATAATGACCTGATCTCGGTAGTGGAACAGTGTGATGTTCCAACTGACGCTAAATAAGTCAAGGAACTTCCCTAGAGCGCCTGGCCTCTCAGGGAAAATGAATCGGCATACAATCTCGTTCTCGATCTTGGACCGACCACCCACCTGAAAATCATCAGATTACTAATGTGTCAGAATGAGAGAAAGGAAGAAACGCTCATGACATGAGAGGGGAAACTTTATGAGTGTACCAAAAATTGGAGATGGTCTTTGACAAGGTCATTATCAGTGAGATTAAGAGTATGGAGATTAGCAGATTTCATCCAGTCCTGCAACTTCTCGAGCTCCATGGTTGTATCAAAGCTGACACTGCAAGTGTACAGAACAAAGAAAAGGATAAGCAGCAGATGATCACTGGTCCAATTATGATGAAGCTACATTGATCACTTGCCTGTAGAGAATGAGAGCTTGTTCTTTGTGAGCATCATATCTGTATCTGAACTCGGTAATATTCACTGGGCCAACCTGCAATTCTCATGGATGAGCTGAATCTGTAACTAAACTCACGAGAGGTTAAGAAAAGGTTTCGGCTTTATGGAAAAATGGCTCACCAGTTTATAGAACTGGATGAAATTCCCCCACTTCTCAGGCACAAACGTAGCTAGAACAGCCTCGGACCACCTTCCTACATCCGCAAGCTGAGAAACCAGGCCAAGTCTGTCGAAATTCATGTTCGCTCCGCTGGTAATCGCCACCACACTCTCGCCTTTGAGCCCGTAGTATTTACAGTAGGCTTCAGCTCCAGCCATGGCCAGAGCCCCCGCTGGCTCAAGTATGCTCCTGTTCTCTTCAAACATGTCCTGACGACCCCAAAGAAACAAAAAAAAAAAAAAAAACATCGTTCTTTCAGGCATTTCATCGAACACTTGGTGACCAACTAATCTTCCACTTTCATTTACCTTTATCGATGCGCAAATGGCGTCCCGGCTCACCAGAACGACCCCATCGACGAGTTCCTTACACAACCGGAACGGCTCCTCGCCAACAGCCTTAACAGCAACGCCATCGGCGAACCCTCCGACCTGATCCAGCACGATCCTCTGCCCATGGTACAGCGAGAGCGCCATCGCGTTCGCGTCAAACGGCTCCACTCCGATGACCCTGACCTCGGGGCGAACTCTCTTTACGTACGCAGCGATTCCGGCGATGAGACCTCCGCCGCCGACGGGGACGAAGATCGCGTGCAGTGGACCGGGCATCTGCCTGACGATCTCCATCCCGACGGTTCCTTGTCCGGCGATGACATCCGGGTGGTCAAAAGGAGGGATGAAGATTCTTCCTTCCTCCTTGGCTCTCTGTTTCGCGTACGACTGAGTTTCGTCGTATGACTCCCCGACGAGCACCACCGTCGCGCCCATTCTTTCCACCGTCTTCCACTGTTTTTCCTCCCCCCACCGATTGAAGGAAACGAATTGAGAAATCGAGAAATTGAAAACGGTTCTTAGGGTTACAGAAAGGAGATTTAGTGATTTACCGACTTTGATTTCAGGGGTGGTGACGGGCATGGCGATGACGGCGTTGCAGCCCAGTTTTAGGGCGGATAAGGCAACTCCCTGGGCGTGGTTGCCGGCTGACGAACAAATCACTCCCTTGGCTAATTGCTCTCCGGTTAGCTTCGCCATCATGCTGTAAGCTCCCCGCAACTTGAACGAGAAAACCTGACCACCGGCAACACATTTTGGGTTTATCGTCAGATTCAGCGGAACTTTTTGCAGTTCTCCGGCGACGGACCATTAGTCTCCGTCCGATTAATAGGAGAGGTCATAAAAAAGGTTACGAGGTTCATTCTGTTGTAATAGTACCATAGATATTAGGTGTAGATATTTCAACTTTCGAAAATATAGATTTGCATTGTTAATTGTACATCAAATCCATAAATGTTTGAATTTGTAGACTATTTTCCATCAACTATCATAGTTGTCACACTACAAACTGTTTAAAATGTGTTCTCACTAATTAGAAATTTTTAATAATCTACAAATTTAAACCTCGATTTATAAAATCTATTCTTTTATATTTTAAGACTCTTCATTTTACTCACCAATATAACATCACATTACCATTAAGTGAGAAAAAATTTTCCGGTTAGTGCATCAATTTGCAATCTATATAACAATCATAGCATAATTATAGTTAACCCTTGACATAAATACATGAACAAATACAATTATCTTACATTTTACTCTTTAGTGGTTATACAAAGTATTAAGTATGTGTATATAGGTGAGTTCTACGGTACCCATGGTGAAATCTGGGGTAGCGCATATCTTGATTATGAAAACGCTATCCAGACCTTAAATTGACTGAACTTTCGGACATGATATTATACCCTAACCCTTAAAGATCAAAATATAGGTCTTAATTCTCTAAATCTTATACCCCAAGATCAATTTAATTATAAACAATAATAGGGGGTTATGATTCGTCCAAATATAGGCAAAAATTGAATGCACCATCTTAGAGTTTATAGTATCAAGCCCAAAAATCATGCTAATTCGAGGTCTATATAGCGTTTTCATACTTAAGCTATGCGGTACCCGAATTTCACTCGGAGTACCATAGAAGCCACCGTGTATATAATATATATTAGATATATGACTAATTACTTAAATGATTAGTTTGGTTTGATTGATTAGGAGTGTCTGAAACCAAACCGAACCAACTAAACCAAACAAACTAAAAAATTTAATCAAACCAAACCAATTATACAAACCAAATTATCCAAATACTATCGCTTAAAATCATTACTATGATAATCACTCTGTTTGAACACCGTTAATGTAGTGATGGCAATTTGAACCCGCCCCGCCAGTATTACCCGACCTGACCCGCGATGGGGCGGGTATTACCCGACCTGTAGTAGCGTGAGGCGGGGCATGGGTATCTATTTTCGCCTCGCCCCTTGTTCTTGACTCATTCTATCTCAAGCATCCGCCGGGTGGCGGGGTGGGTTGTGGGCGGGTGCGCGGGTGACTCGCTCAACCCTACCTTTCATAGTGTCCATCAGACCATCACACAATCTTATATATCACTATTTTAGATTTAATACCAAACACTTTTAATTTTGAGAGCAATCAATTAGATTAATTAATCACTCAAAACTTCAATCAACTCATCGAGAAATAGAATGACCATAATGATCTATTGCATAAGAACATTATACGAGATGAATTATTTGTTACAGATTCACGAATCGATTTATTATATGACAATTTGGTTCTCTATATTATCGATCACTTAATAGAAATGTGGTGTTGTCCGAGATTTTCAACACAAGAAATGACGGTTGTATAATTCTTCATGTATCTCTCTGCATTGAATTCTGTTTAAGGTGACGTATAAGATTCGTTATTAGTTCTCCTCGAGATAATTATACTCGAAATTATCGAAATTAGCAGGAAAGCACAACTTTAATGAGGTCATCCAAAAAAAATGACCTAACAGTAGCGTCGGAAATGAGAACATTCACCACATTATTCTAGGTTAAGAACTTATTTTCAACCATGGAGAAAAAGATAGATAGTAGAAGAAGGAGAAAGAAGTGACAAGTTTTTTGTTGGGAGAGAAAAGCTCACCGGCTGGAGGTCTTCTCTTTTGAGCCAAACACGGACGCCGAGCCGCTCCGACAACTTGGGAGCAGAATCCAACGGCGACTCTATCGCCACGTCGTACACTTTAGACGACAGTATCCTAGTCAAGTAGCTCATCTCATTGACATTGCCGCCGCCGCCGCCGCCGTCTCCCCCCGCGGCCGCGTTCTTCTGCTTCTCGGGGACGGTGCCCAGCAACCCGCTCTGGTACTGCAGCGACCCCGCCGCCACTTTCATCAGCGGCGGAGGAAATAATACCGGCGCCATCATCACGGTGGAGATCTCCGGGTTGTTGGCGGCGGATTGGGCGGTTATCTTCAGCTGCGGCTTGTGTGCGGCGGCGGCGCCAGTGGTGGTGGATGATAAGCTTCTGGGCTTGACGGCGAGACAGGAACCCGTGAAGCATATTGCCGCCATTGTGATCGTTCTGCCGGCGAGTCGGGAGAGGGAGAGAGAGATGTGTAAGGTGTGGAGTTTCAAATACGAACTTTGTTTTATTTATAGGATGATATGATACGATGATAGATTTCTCGTAAGGTTTTACACATTGAAATTATAATACTTTCGAGAAACGAATAAATTTGATGTTTTTTTTTTTATGAATGGTCATGGAAAAGTTACGGATTAAATCACGATTTTATCATTAAAATATGTACAATTTTTCTCCGATAATTTGTCGTGTGTGTAGAGTCTTGGATACGGTTTCACAAATCATAACCTTTCCCATGTGACTAGTTTTATAACTTGTAACATTTTTGAACAAATCACCCATCGACCAAGCACAAGAGAAATTTATAATTTATAAGAAACAATTCAAATTTTAATTGACAAGACGGTGTTTGGTATGAAATTGATGATGAGTTCGTATAAAAAATTAAAAACTCCCAAAGCGAAACCTGCTCAATCTAGAGCCAGCGGCGGATCGAGGGGGCGCCCCCAGGACACGGCTCAGCCCTCCCCGGATCCAAATCTCGTATAGTACTTGTAAATTTTCGATTTTGGGTATACATTTCAATGTTTATAGGATTACAGTCCATCCCCTCTCCACCGCTTTTTAAATGCGACCCAGTACTCTTACCTGTTCTGGATCCGCCACGGTCTAAACTCTAAAGCAATGTATATATGGATTGCCGTACAATTCTTAATTCTAGCGTGTGAACGTTTTGAAAATTTAAAGTGGGATCCTGTCAAGTTTTTTTTTTTTTTTTCATAGGGGATTCTGTTAAGTTTTGGCTGTGAAAGATTTTAGTTTTTGGAATTTTCGTTGAGAGGATGAGAGTATTACTGTACAATAATTCTCTGTGTGAACGTTCACTCGGCATATAATTCTGCAGACTCGTTGGGCCGATCCAGCTGTTCATAAAAGTTTCGGGACATGATGAATATTTTAGAGCAAGAGGAATTATAGGCAACTCTGGTCCTTCAAATTAATGCAGAATATTCAATTTGAAACGGCCAGAAAAAATGCTATATAATATAAAACTGTGAATAAAAAAGGAAACATCCTTTTAGGGACGCGAGATCGTTATATCCGAAGTTTGAGGGCAAAATTGAGGAAATGCATGGAAGAAGCAGAGAGGGCATCTTAAGCCACAACATATGTTAGCGGATTATACAGGCCCATTTTTACACGTTTTTTGTACAGCCCATTTATTGTGTCCATGAAGCCCATGCAAGGGCTACTCGTGTACGTGGAGAGAGTGCCCTAGGGTTTATTTTTTCTTGTTGCCTCTGGTTGTACATAGTGAGGAAGGAGGCTATGAGCTTGGGACAGAAAACACACACAATAAGATCATAGCTCGAAGGGTTTTCACTCTTCCGTGGATTAGTCCTGGATTATCCAGGGATACCACGTAAATCCGGTGTCTGTTTCTTGATTTCATTTCCGTTCTCGTTCAGTTCGTCAAACCTCAAATCCGGATAATCTATCAATCGAGTTGTCCTTCGCATTGAGAGGGATGAAGAGATGGCCGAGCAAGAGAGGGATGCGAGGATGGATACGAAGAAGAGGAAGGAGCCAAGCAACTCTGGGGGCATGAGCCAAACTTTCTCGACCCAACCTTCCAAGAAAGGATCTGGTTCATTTAGCTAGCATCAGTCCTGGAGCCAGACGGTCTCCACAAGAAATGCACCGACACACCGACACAGCTACTATATCCACTATGTCTGGAATGTGACAAACGTCATCTAGGTGAGTGCAGACGTAATATGAGTGTTTGTTTCGAGTGTGGCTAGCCGGGACATATAAAGTGGAACTGCCCAAGACTCGCTTATCGTATAAGGGTTATCTCTGAGCCCTCAATTGGTGGGGGTAAGGCACATTCGAGAAGTAGATTCAGTGGCAAGACTAGCAAATTCAGCAATAATAATGGTGGGCGTTTCAATAGCAGCAACACTCGCCATGTCGATCGTGGTCAGAGTCAAATGTCAAGAGTCGGTGGGCAACCTAGAGTCTTTGTCATGGAAAAGAGAGAGGGTGTCTATTAGAGGTGGCAATTTCAATCCAATCCACCAATCCAATCCATCAATCCATTAAAAATATTCACCTAATCCAATCCATTTAAATCCAATCCATTTGATCCAAATCCAATTGGATTGGTGGATTTATGGATTGGATCCATGGATCATTGGCAAATTACGGTTTAGTACCTATAATTTTTATTTTTTACATTTTGGTACCTAAAATTTTATTTTTTATACGAAAAATATCATTGGAAAATTACATTTTGGTACCTAAAATTTTTCATTGTGACATTTTAGTACCTAAACTTTTTACATTTTACATATTGGTCCTTGGTTGAGGATGTCATTTGGATTCATGGATAATCCACCAATCCACTTGATCCAATCCACTTGATCCAATCCATGAATCCACCAATCCATTAGATCCAATCCATTTGATCCATGGATCCACTAATCCAATCCACCAATCCGCCAATCCAATCCATTTGCCACCTCTAGTGTCTATTATGAAAATGGAAGGGAGGAACCCACGCACTAAAGTAATTATGGGGGTGATTGAAGAGGTGATGAGAGGGAACTATCCAAACTTGTTCTTGACTATTTGA